TACACAAATTTACAGTTTCCAAAATATGTGTACAAAACATATTATTAATGGGTTAGAGGGTTTATTCTATCTAGAATCTAAATTCTGCAAAATGAAGCAATTTTTTCTAGTTTTGTTTTCCATGATGGGATTCTTGGCTCATCTTTTTTGAGGTCCAAAGGTTTTTATATGGTGATGGGTGCCTATGGATTATAAAGCCTTGCTGCTATAGTAAATTCCCATGTTAGAAATAGCTTGCATTTAATTAAACCTGATAATGTGCATCTAAAGGGTTGTATTGAGGTTTAAATCAGAATTTGCTGGAGGAGTAGGAGACAAAGTGGCTGAAGTTTTAGGTATTTTAACAATGTGAGGAGAAAACAAAGGATGATCCGTTTCTAACATGGTTATCTACCGCACTCCCAACTCCATTTCCACAGTAATTAAATCTGCACCTGCTGTAATCTGCCCTGTAACAGCAGCATGATATCATTCATACAGTGCAAGGTGAACAATTTTTCCAGTGCAACACGTCAGATATTATGCTAATGCTACTGCGCCACCCAAGTCCCCAGATCCAAAACCACCACCCACCCTTCCTGTAGAGCAGACACTGCTATTGGTATCCTGCAGCGAGCCGGAGTGTTTGACGTCAACCCGTCTGCTCAGTATTCAGCTCCATGAAATGGGTCACAGCTCCTGACTATAAACCAGCTGCAGCTCTCCGCTCTGCCTGGATCTTCCTGCTCACCTTTACAGCAGCAGCATCAGACTGTCGGCATGTCACACCACTTCCACTTCCTACTTCATTTTGCACCTGGTGCCACCTGCGTTGTACAAATTAAATGTTATGGCTCTCATCTGCTGTTGGATTTCCGCAGTCTGATAATCTCTCAAATCTGATTTAGAGATGCATTTGTACTTGAACCTCCTGCATCTTTTCTGAGAAAGAAAAGGATTGCTATCAGCCCTTTTCTGTTCGGTTAAAATCAAAAGAGAGAGAGACAAAGAGGCACGAAAAAGAGGCTTTGCATATTTCTTTTAGATCTATAGACAGCCACGTTAGTTTTTAGACGTTAAATCTCAAAAATTGCATCCAACAACACTCCATTTCTAGGCTTTGGGGGTAATTTGGTGTGTTTTGTTGCTGTGGTTGAATGGTCAGTTTGATTTGCTCTACATTGTTTGTTTCATGCCGTCTTGGACTCTGTCACACTGCGTATAGAGCGTGATCCAACACCACTTCCAACCCCATTATGCAAGACAGATTTAGTCTTTTTTTATCTCTTATTTGTTTGTTTTTCAGTGCATTTTTCTATTTGGTTATGTAACTGCTGTAGATTATGGAACTAGGGAGGGGATGGAAGCTAAAGTGCACATGTCTGGTCTGCTGACAGCCTCCATTGATAATGAATTACTAAGCTGGAAGTTTTTCATATTTTCTTTTAACGGGTGATAAATCATAGAATAAAACCAGGGGCTCATTGAAAGTTACAAAAGATTGATTTTATTATTAACGAGAAAAGATTGGTGCTTAGCAGAGATAAGAGGCAAGAGAAGTGAGGTAAAGTCTTTAAAAAGAGATGCAGTTGTCTGTGATCTGGATTGTTTGACTGGATTTTAATGAAAGACAGATGTGACTTCTGAGTGTATTTGTAATATTTCCCTCTGTTCTTTGGAGATAAAAATCAGGTTTAAATCCATTCTGCACACATCCAATGGGAGCCCACATGAGTGACCTAATGTTGGTCTCAAGGGGAGGTTGCCTCATACAGCGGCCTGTTTCCTCAGTGTGCAAGAATGTGGATTTCAAACTGCGTTACGCAAAACCTCCACACAGATACTTGATGTTTAAGCAACTCTGTATGTTGGTTGATGTGATTTTTTGTTTTTTCTTTCATTTCATAGAATATTTATATGTATTGTTTCATTGTTAACCAATTATTTTGTTTTCTTTTTCTATTATTTAAAAAATTCTCACTTCTCACCCCCGTGTAGATTTTGGGTTTGCAAACTTCTTCCAGCCTGGGGAGCCTCTGGCCACATGGTGTGGCAGCCCACCGTATGCTGCCCCTGAAGTCTTCGAGGGACAGCAGTATGAGGGACCACAGCTGGACATCTGGGTAAGATGACCCATTACCTAACAGAGGACACAGGTTTTGCTTTTTCTCTGTATTATTATGGGAAGATGATAAACTGCTAACTCAGAAAATCAGTTAATATATCCAAAAATTATACTTTGACTAAGGAAATTCTGAAACATTTACTAAAGGTTATAATTCAATCAATTTCCCATTCATCTATTCAGTTTTCCAGCCTGACCTATTATTGACCAGACTTTCCTTCTGTGGTCAGACTCCAGAAAGGAGCCCCTTTAATAACACCCTCTAAAGGGACAGAACCAAACCTAAGACCAACAGAATTACTTCTGTTTACTTTAGGAAGTTGAGTACGGAATAAAGGAGCAAGCAGCTATCAACTCTGGTTATCTGTTTACATAATTTATTCATATGACATGATACATAGAACCATAACTCTTAGCCTCTTTTTCCTTTTCAAGTAGTTCAGATGATTGACCTTCACATATTAGAAAAGTATCAAGAAAATAGCTGCTCAGCTATAGAGACCATATCTATATCTTTCCTGAGTGATAATAAAATCATTAAAATGGAAATGTGACAAAAAAGGCTGGATGAAGACTTTTTGTCTTCTCTATCATATTTATGCCAACCAGTTAAAAAGAAAGCAGGAAAAGTCTGTTATTTCCTACCATCACAAATGTAAACATGGAGTTTTCTAATAACTGCTTGGACTCTGGATCAAATTTGGGCTAAAATCGGATAAACACTCAGAGCTTTTCAGATTCTATGTGACCTGGTATCTGACTGTCCAACTGTGAGAAAGAATTCACTTCAATTTAGTTTATTTATATGGCGTTAATTCACAAGACTTAATCTCGAGGCACTTTATAATTCAACCAGATCATACAGTTGAAGCGTCAGTGGAGAGGAAAAACTCCCTTTTAACAGGAAGAAACCTCCAGCAGAATCAGGCTCACTGTGCGCGGCCATCTGCCGAGGCCGGCTGGGGCTCAAGGAGGCAGAAGAAGAGTACTGTCAACCTGCCACACAGCCAGGCAGATGATCTCCCAGCCAGCTCCCATGTCAGAGGATGAAGAGAGCACATGTAGCCAGTAACAGTTAGAGAAACAGGACTACACTGAAAAAACAGGCCAATCTCGAACATCTATAAACAAAGGCATTGATGGCAGCAGCACAGCTGATATTTCTCTCCAGTATGGAGTCAAAGCCAAACGGAACAAAACAGATGAAGGTAGCATTAGAGATTGAACTGACAAATTCTGCAGAGTGGGAAAAAGTGACAGATTGAAGCAGAATGATGAAAAAGGGGTCCCTATGTCCTCCAGCAGTCTAAGCCTATAGCAGCATAACTATAGAGATAGCTCAGGGTTGGATATGTGTAGACATCATGTAAGACACGGTGGCAAAGTAAAACCCACTTGCCGTGGGGTAAATGCACATGGAAATGACCAGATCTCTGACATTAACATCACACCGTTTCTGACAATGGAGGATTTTCTTTAAAGGTCATTGCTACAACTTTTTCTTCAAAAAAAAATATTTTTAAAAAATCCACAGAATGTCAAGAGTTGTGCGGTCTGAAAATATTAATCTTTAATGGAAAAAAAAAATCATATATAAATGTTATAAATTCTCACGAGTCCAAAGTATATAAATATTTACTCCTGGTTATGATGTCAACATTGAAGCAAAAGGTTTCTGCACCAATAGGAATAGTAGGCCAAAGTCGTGAGGCAGAGTTCAGTGATACAGCTGAGAGATGGCTTCCTGTCAGCATTACATTTATCAGATTCAAGATTAAAAGAAAAAAAAAAATATGTAAAGATCAGTCGAGCTTTAAAGCGTTGGAGGGAAAGGGGATCAGAAAGGGTTACCACTTTTCTTCTAAACAGGAATGTTAAATGTTTGCTAATGCTAACCAAAGGCAACTGGCTGTTAAACTACAGAATGAGAGAGACCGAAGACGAGTGCACCAGTCACTGGCAGGGAGGAGTTAAACTTGAAGCTCTCACCTTTAGGTTTAAATGAAAGAAAATACTCACAAAACTTCAGCAAACTGACATTTTGGCTGAAGCAATCTGTTTTTATGGTGTAACATTGGTAACAACTGCTTGGTAGGCAGTGGTGAGGAAAAAAACATAAGATGAATATGTAAAAGTTGCCCATTAAAACCCTCTGTTGGATAGGAAGGATCTGCGACGATGTGGTCCTAAAATTCTTCGAAATGGCTTCAAAACTTTGCTCAAGTACATGGTGTCATAAACACAATCAGAAAACATAATCAATGGGTTTTCAACAAGATCCACACCTGAACCTAGCAGAAAAATCAATCTGGTTGTACCCAAACTCACTGCTTCCATCTTGTTTTGCAGAGTATGGGGGTGGTGCTTTATGTGCTGGTGTGCGGCGCGTTGCCCTTTGATGGGCCCTCTCTGCCTGTGCTTAGACAGAGGGTCCTGGAAGGAAGGTTTCGCATCCCCTACTTCATGACTGAAGGTGAGAGGTGGCAAACCTTGCATTTTGCTGGAGGCTGCATCTAAAACAAGGAAAAGAAAACATGTCTGTAACCAAGTTTGTAAATGCCAAAAGAACGTCTCAGTCTTACAGCTGCAACAAGCAGGATGATGTCTAGTTGTGTTCATCTGAAGCAGGGATTCATTTTGGGGCTGTCCGGGGCTTTTCAGAGTTCTGTGTGCGTGCAGGCTGCGCAGTGAGTCAGGCTGTCTGAGCAGCCATGCTGTTAACGGCTCTGCTAGCTCGCTGGCTGCAGATTAAGTCCAGAGCCGGAGCTGTTTATGTAACATGGTGAAGAGCCAGTGAAGCCCTCCAGCAGCTCATAGCAGAGTTTGCACATTGGTTTGAGTCACCCTACCGACCCGCGAGACCTCTTCCTGTCCGTCTGCATTCCCCTGTATTAGATCTGAGACTCAAGTCTTCAATAAGGACTTGTTGTATGTGTTTAGTTTCTTACAAGTCATGCAGAGAATGTAGGAGTGAAAATTTCACCTCCACGGGCCAAAATGAAACTCAAACCCGCCTCCCTTCCCTCAGTCCGACCCCCCCGCTCCCTGAAACAGGGGGGAACAGAGTGTGCTGATTACTTCATCCAGAAACAGTCCATCTTGTTTTCTCTCATCGCTGCCTCTGACTAATGCCACGGTGTGCGGCACAGCCCTGCACCGCGCTGGAAACTCTCAACAGAACACATCATCCCGAGGACTTATCAACCACACAACATGTCTCCTTGCTCTACAGTAACTTTCAGCTCTCAGTTTCACCGATTTGTTTAAATTATTCCCAACATCAGTATTACAGCCTGGAAAAGTCTGGAGTTTAATTGCAGTATTATTTTTTTTCCATTTGAGAAAATATTTGCATTTCAAGGCTTGTATCCGTTTCTCATTATCCAAATGTTATTCCGTTTCCTTCCTTGAATACTTCGTCTTGTCCTTTTACTCTCTGTCCTCCTTACTTCCTCATCCTTCCCTCCATTCTGTTTATCATTCCTTCCTTCCTTCTTTCATTGTAATTTTTTGTTCATGCCTCATTCCTTCCTTCTAACTGGTCAATTTCTCTGTTTTGTCCCTCTTTTCTTCCTTATTTCCTTACTTCCATTTTTCCCTCCATCCTTTTTCTTAACTGCCTTTTCACTCCTAGTGAGCATTACTTCCTTCCCTTCCTCTTGTCCATCTTCCGACCTTTCCTATCCATTAATTTTTCTGCTCCTTCTTTCCCCTAACTTTCCCATGTGTCCTGTCCTCCCTTCCTTTCCGATACCTTTTTTCAATGAGCTCTGCTGGTTTTATCTCCCCTCCGCCTGACAGGTTTCCACAGCTCTACCCCACTAAGGCATTAAATTAGATGGGTTTGTGGTTAGGTCATGATGGTGCTGTGTTTTTTCAAAGGAAGACGCGTCGGTCAATCAGCCATGCAGCGGCATGGATTTAAAGTGGCAGCAAGTTTACACAGTTTTAGCGTTGCTGTTCAGTGAAGCAAAAGCTCTGGTATTTACCGTTTCCAGAAGCATGGCTGCAGAAAAAGTGTAGGTTCCCTTTCGGTACAACAAATATAACATTGCAAAATTGTCTTAAAACAGTTTGCAGCTGACAACCTGCAAACAAAATGGAGTTGAGAGTAATATTGAACTGAAGGTCAAACTGTTTATGAGCCGAAGGGGAGGATGAATTTGACTTGGCTGAACTAGTGGTGTAGAAAACATGTTGAATGGAGACGTTGGCAGACCAGCAGGTAGATTGAGGAGTTTATCCATCAGGGAGTTCCTGTTGGCACATGGGCCCTTGAGCTTCAAATAAGTTATGCTGCTTTTTTTCAAGATCAGAAAATTAATACATTTCATAACAATTGAGTTTTTATTACATTAATTGTCACTTTTGTTAAAAGAAAAAATATTATTCAGTCTCTGATCTAATCTTTTCTTCTTTCATCTACCCGTTTTTGCCACTCACACCCAAATTTCCCCACTGTGGGACAATAACAGCATTCCTTATCTTATCTAAGAGCTTTAATATAAGAAGGCATAAAAAGAAGAATCATTTTCTGTCCTTCCTTCTATGTCTGGTCAATAATTATTTACCTTAGGAGCAGAGGAGACTTTCTGTTTGAGCTGGTGAACATTCACAGTTTGTGTTTAGTGTAGTTAGTCTGCGTTCCCTAGAAAATATAGATCTTGAACCGAACTCTGAGATCTCCAGAAGAAGCATTTCCAAACTGAACATGTTAAATAACAATGTTTGAAACTTTAAAGGGATCAAACTAAGCAGCTTTGCTTCATTACAATCATCCTTCTTACTATCTGCCTCATTAAGCACCAGTCCTGTTTCAACTTCTTTAACAAATTATATTTTTATTGTGAATAACATGTTTCACATCACTGTTCTTTCCCCTTTGTAGTTTTTGATTCACTAAAATGCACTCCCAATCAAACTTTTTTTTTTTCCTCTGCTTTGCTTTTGTTTTTCCTTCTTTTCTCTTTATTGCCTCTAAATACATCTGACATTCTAAACTGGACTTTAAATTGTGTGCCTCTTAAAAAAAGTTGGAAGATGGAAAAAAAGGTATTAAAGTTAACAAACTTTGTTTTGAATCAAATATTACTCTCTGAAGTAAAATCCTCGTAAACCTCATAGCTATATTTTGAAGTGAAGCTGATTTAATTGATCCAGATGCGTATGTTGTGATACAATCAGAAACCGTAAATCAGACTTGAACTTCAGCTTTGTGGTCTTTCTTGTACGGATTATTATTATTTTTTTTTTACAATAATTACTAAGGTAACAGTTTCATATGTTTTTGTTAAAAGGTATAAAGATGAATGGTTTTCCATTAGGTGCACAACAGCTGTTCATTAAAAAAAATCTGTCTTGTTTTCAGTAAAAATTCAAAATTTCAGACAATTCAAAATGTTATGAATTAGGTTGTGTAGCTAAAGAATTATTGCAGGGATTTCAGTTAATTTTCCCCCGGTTATGGTTAAAGAAAACAATGGTTGAGTAAACGCTGAGCGACAGGTGGGAATGCAGGACGCAGCCAGGGGAACTGTAATCCTGTTACCAAACCAGCTGTGTCTGACGTCAAACTCATCAAGCCACTAACTAGAGGTGAAGAGCTCTCATTAGGAGGGAAGGAAACAGGGAAATGTTGGGAGCAAAGAAAGACTACATCAGATTATTCAGATCTTAAGTTTTTGGTGTTACTTTGTGGTGTTTATTTCTATTAATCATGGTTTGTACTGTAGAACTAATCTGACTTTTTTATTTGATACCACAGTAGAAAGCAACTTTCTTACTTCTCCATCCTCTCCTTTTAGACTGTGAACACCTGATCCGCAGGATGCTGGTACTGGACCCATCCAAACGTTTGTCTGTGGCCCAGATCAAGGAGCACAAATGGATGACTCTGGATGTCCCCGTCCAGAGGCCTGTTCTGTACCAGCAGCCTCTGTCGGCAGAGGGGGAGGCGGGTGTAGGAGAGTACAGCGAGCAGGTCCTCCGCCTCATGCACAGCCTCGGCATCGACCAGCATAAGACCATAGAGGTAAGGGCCAGGCTACGCTATAGTCACATTCAATCCAACAAGGTCATATCTGTAAAGAGGTTAACTATAGTTTGTTGTTCATCATATAATATGGTGATTTTTTTTTGGAGCCAAGTTGTATGTTAAACTCTTTGCTTTACTGTAGGTAATTTTTTGTTAATAAACCCTAAAATGTCTAATAGTTATTTGCAAAATGGGACACTTGGATAAAACATGAAATCTTTTCTATATGTATATATCATTTATTTAGAGCAGTGGTCTCCAACCCTGGTCCTCAAGATCTACTGTCCTACAGATTTTAGATGCATCCCTGCTTTAACACAGCTGAATCAAATGAATGGCTTGAAAAGGTCATCAATCATTTGATTCAACTGTGTTGAAGCAGGGATGCATCTAAAATCTGTAGGACAGTAGATCTTGAGGACCAGGGTTGGAGACCACTGATTTAGAGGTTTGAATTTATGTAACACAAATTTATATGCAACACAAAAACCTCCAGTGAGGGTCCAGTATGCAGACACAGCTGCTGTAATTTCTGCACTACTGTAGATTTAATAAGGACAAATCAAAAAATGATAAAGGTGATGAATTAAAATAAAAATGTTTTTCAAATTTAGTTTGCATAAATTGTGTGATATTGATGTGATCTTTGTTTCCTCAACATTTCTTTAAAATATAAAAACAAGTTGACCATTTCATAGGTCATCATCATATTTTTGATATAGGCACAAATTATTGTCAGTAGAGGCAAAGAAAGCAGAGATTTGGTCAGAAATGGAGAAATATACATGTTTGTATATATAATTTGTATATCTGAGTTTGGCGCACCACTGTAAAAATAAAAAATAAAAGGCTTTAGCTACTAGAATAGATGTAGGGGGAGGGACAGTTGAACCAAATTTAAAGTATCTGGAGTCATGCTTTTTTTGTCTTGTTTCTATGCTACATTTTGTTGTAGCTTAAGTTTATATCAGATTTGATCAGATCTTGATGCGTCATTTTGTTTATTTCTGTTAATATGACTGATCAGGCTTTTTCATTTGGTACCACTGTGGTCCTAAAATACAAAAAAGCAACAACAATAAAACAACCAAACAAAAAAGAAATTAACTCTTGTGCTTTCAAACTTCTCCATCCTCTCCTTTTAGTTTGGGAATAGTTAATCCTTAGGATGCTGGTACTGGACCCATCCATACTAATATTGCATGAGTATGTCAGTTGCTTCCTAACTGCCATACTAATGCAACATGCATCCACACCCATTACTCAAATGTTCTCCATATTGATCAAAAAACTACTTTGATCATGCTTTGTTTGTTTGTTTTATTCTATTAAAGCGGCCATAGCAGTCTGAGCTCTGTGAATCCAAAGGGCCTCCTCAATTCAAACCCACCTTACAGAACCAGTTTATTACAGCTCTTATCCAACGGATTCAATCATTTTTTATCACACTTTTATACATTATTGGGATAATTGGTTCCTGTATTCAGTACTTGTGATTCACTGATATTTTTGGCTACTTCATTTGGCAAAATAAATTATTTTTCACTTGATAAAATGAAGGAAAGCGAGGAGTACAGAGACGAAGAAGGTTTTTGATCAAAAGGGTACTGAATTGTTTTTGTTAGCATGGCGAGGGAAGTGTTATGGTACGGGATGTTTGGCTGAAGAGAGCTAGACATAGATAATGGGGAGAACACAGTGACTTAACTTGGTTAAGATGTGATGGCATCCCAGTCTGAATTATTCCCACCAGCTGAAGCTCTGTGAGGATTATATGAACCTGCATGCTGTTTTCAGTCTTCTTTCCAGACAGTAAATTATTCATACCCTGGCCTTTTTGTGCTGTATGCTCCTTTAATACGCAGTTTCTGAACTGTATTTTTATCCTCCCTCCGCTCTCCGTCTTCTACAATAACCCACTTTCACACGGGGATGATTAAAGAGTAATCTCATCACATCTTTAAAGCTGTCACAGTTAAGTCATCTTAAAGAAGCAGAAGAAAAGAGGGTGAACTTGGATGAACTTCATATGCAGACTTCAGCTCTTATCCTGTCTGTCATCCTCCAGTCTCTGCAGAACAAAAGCTACAACCACTTTGCTGCTATTTACTACCTGCTGGTGGAACGGCTCAAGGCGCATCGCTGCAGCTTCCCCGTTGAACAGCGGCTGGACGCCCGTCAGCGGCGGCCCAGCACCATCGCTGAACAAACCGTCATCAAGGTAACAGCTGAACTGAATAATGCGCACTGATTAGTATCTATGCCTCTCTGATCAAAGCTGTGTTATTCACACCTGCACCCTGGAACAAATGGACAGAGACGGCCCAATGGTTTATTTATCCACCTCTTCTGTGCTCTCTCTCTTGTTCTTTCTCTGCCAGCCTTGATCTTAATGTGTTACCCTCAATTTGATTATTCACTTCTCACATCCTAGGGAAGATTGTCTTTAATTTGCATCACTGTTAAAGATCCTTTTAAAATTCAATCTACTGCAAAGGTTTTCTATGTTAACCCTTTGCTTTTAGTTTTTAAGTTGCATATAGAGCTACTGGGGAGAATGACTGCATGTTTAATGGTTTCTGCTTTGAAATATCTGGTCTTATACAACATTGTAATGGCTTTCTTCACTTTACAGTTTAAACATTTACAAGAGGATTAATGAATATTATTTTATTTACATTCTGCTTAAGCCCCCCCCCAGCATTTCCTGTAAAGTTATTTATTTATTTTTTTAACACTTGTCTTTGTATTTTTTTTACTTCAGTCGACCAGCGGTTCATCACAGGTGGGCTTGCCCCTGCAGGGTGTACGTTTGTTGCGTCCGCCCGCCATTCCCCAACCCAGTTCCGACGCTTGCACCTTTGTCCAGACCCCATCTCCCCTGGAGCAGAATTTCATGGTAGAAGATATCAGCACGCCCAAAGTAGGTCCAAGGAAATAAGTGTGTTGTCTCTCTACCTAATTCACCCTTTTTTTTTTTAGGTTTTAGTTGTAGCAGTCATTTTCAGCCTGTGACTTCCTTTGCTAACTGTTTTAGCTCTGGCTAAATTAGAGGTGCTTTGTGGTTGTGCGTTTGAGCACCAGACTCCTTTGAGGTTTGGAGCGTCAACCTGCCTGAGCGCAGCTGACATGTCCTCTTATGTAAGCACTCAGCCGGCATTCCCATCGAACAGGACAGCAGCCTGTCCTGCACCCCCCCACCAGACACGGAGCGCTCTCCTTTCCGTCAATGCCAACAAGTGACCTTTACCACCAGGCCTCATGTTCCTCTGACCTCTTATTACAGAACATGGATACTGTTCGTCTGTTTCACACTCCTCCAGGCTTGCACCAAGCACTCAGTCGAGGCTATCTTCTCCATCTCGCCCCCCAGTCCTTTTTTAGCCTCAATAAAAAAGGACTGATTTGTGGTTCTGTCAATGTTTGTGTGTGAGTAAGGGGGCATCTTATCTGAGTGAATGGAGTCTGGTTATGTAAGCGGTCCTGTGGTGATGATGTGACCTAATGTGGAGCAGAGTGAACACACATGGACAGGATGCTGCTGCGCTACCCTCTGCTATCTTCCCGCCACCCAGTCTTTCCGCCCCTGAGCGGATTAATCTTTTTTTCTTTTTTTTTTTTTTGTCTCTGCATTAGGCGATCTTCATCCTCCTGTTTCTTTTTTTTTTTTTTACTCCCCATCTCTCTTTCATTCAGTTCATTCAGTCTCTGCTCCTATCAATCGTTTCACCTCTGTATCCCCCTATGACTGAACTCTTACTTTCTTTCTTGGATCTTGATGTGTTTTTTTTTTTTTTCTTTTATTGAGTGCATGTCTGTTGGATAACCGCATTCCTATCTCAGCACACTGAAGAGAGCAGATGTGGAAATGGGCAGAGCTGCTCTGTAGATCAACACCAGGCTTTCTTGATGCTGCAGCAGTGCAAACAGATGATCTGTATGAGTGGCTGCATGCATCTAAATCATCTTCCCACATTACAACCACAAAACTCAATATATTTTATTGGTGTTTTATCTGATTTATCCACTTAGCATGAACATTTTATCTGATTGATCCACTTAGCATGAAAATTACATTTAGAGTGGAAGGAAAAGGGATCCATGATTTTCAAACCCAGACCTGAAAAGATCTGCGTAGCTTATTTCAATGCATCATATGACAATAAAAAACTCATACCGGCTTGGTATGGAGAGCTTAAACCTAATGAGATCCACGACTCATGTGAAAGGAACTGTTTAAAAAAAAAAACTAGCAAGAAGAAAGACTGTCCTATGAGCTCCTGCATGCCGTTAGCTATGAGCCATAGAGAGGATAGAGTAGTAATGTGGCAGAAGAGGGCTTGATTGAATGTTTTGACTTGTGTAGAAATTGCTATTTGTGGCAGAAAGCTAATGGTCAGCTGAGCAGACCAACCCTCAAATGAGACCTCAGAGAAGGTAGACACTGTAATTGTGATGATGAACCTGTGATGATGTGAAAAAGGTCAGGAGGTGTAAACGGTCCTCGTCTTATTTTGTTCTCAGTTTGGAGCTTTTATATCCTGTCCTACTGTTTTAGATGTGTAGCCTGTTGCTCACTCTCTCTCTCCATCTCTATCTCAGGTGAACGGCTGCCTCTTAGACCCCCTCCCTCCCACCACTGTCCTCCGCAAGTCCTCTACCTCGTCACCCAGCAACATGATGGAGACATCGATTGATGAGGGTATTGAGACTGAAGAGCCGGATGCAGAGGATGATCCCGCCCACTTGCTTTCAGCCTATCAGACAGCTCGATTTGGCCAACGGCGGCACACCCTATCTGAGGTCACCAACCAGCCAGGACCTTCAAATCAAGGTTTGGTTGTTGCCTCTGCGTTAAGGGAGTAATTGTCCATCAGGGTCTCTGATCTCACTAGAAAGCCTCTTTGCAGGTAAATTTTTCGCTCTGGGACACAATCCATCTATGGGAAGCGTTGACTCAGACATCGGCTACGACATGGGGTCTGTGCATAGTGACCTCGGCCTGCTGGAAGACTCTCCCTCGCTCGGCGAGGTGATGCCAGCCAGCAGCCCTGCAACTTTCATGATGGCCAGGCCTCCGAACCCAACAATGGCTGCACTGACATCCCAGCACAGGGAGACGCACAACCGCTCCCCAATCAGCTTCAGAGAAGGACGCCGCGCATCCGATACCTCCCTCACACAAGGTCAGAGATAACTAGTACTAGTTTTAGGTTTTTTTATTCATAAACCCTTAAAGTGTAAAATCATTTGTTCTTTTAAGGGTTCATTTTCTTCTGCAGAAAGATACTGACTGCTCTTAACTGTTCAGCAGAACCACACTTAGTTTGAGCTGTCGCTTTAGTTCCAGATTTTGAAGTCGGAAAGCTTTGTACAGCTAAACTATTCAGTTCTTTTGTCTCATATCTATGCAGAACATTCTTAGCAGTTTCACAAACTCAGTTCAATAGAGAATTGCCTGTATAATTGCATTGTCCCAAAGGCATAGAGCAAAATGTCAGCTGAGTATTTTTTTCTTTTTTTTTTTTAGATTAACCTGATATTTTATTGGAGGTTTTTTTCCCCTTTCTCCCAAAAAAAAAAACAGTATAAATGCACCTTTAGTGTGCATGGTGTTAATGATCTAGGAATGGAGGGTCTTTCAGACTTAAAAGCAACAATTAAAGCTGTTCTAACATGATATATAACAAGATATTTTAACACCTGCTTATGGTCTCTGTAGTCCTTCTGTATCGTTGCATTCAGGTTCCTGCCAATACAAAAGATTTGTATTGGCGGGAGCCAAGTTTGAGGCTTTAAGCCTCAACTTGCACATGGAGGAACTTTGATCCTGGTGAAGGCGCTCCTACAGCTGCTACTTTACCCTTTAACACACTCAGAAACACGTTTCAAAGATGATATTCATGTATGTGTACAGTCTCAGTGCTGTTCCCCTCCTCTTTCACACGCCTTTTTTTTCCTCTCCTGCTTGTTCTTCTCGTCTCTCATCCACTCCGTTTCTCTGACGACGACAACGGTGATGATTCACAAGGTGAATCAGACACACATTTGAAGGTTTCAGCCCACATATTTCTCTCTCTCCCTCCCTCCTTCCTGTCCCTAGCACGCCCCTCACCTTTCTTCACCATTATTCCCTCTTTCACTTTTTATTCCAGAAATTTCAGTCTCTGGATTGCTTCTTTTTTTTCCGCACATTAGAGGGAAACAGGAGGTAAAATATAAGGAGGGGGTTGTTAAACATCTGTGCTCCATAGTTGCATTTATCTGTGTTTATTAGCTTAATTATTTGCCTTCTGGTTGGTAACCACTTGCATTAAGGCCAAGTGGAGCGGATTGCTAAGTTAAAAATATGCATCTTCCCTGGCTTCATTCTGACGGGCTGCGCTGTGCTCTGCTAGCTGGTATTTGCAGTTATTAATTTATTTTCCATAATCTTCTTTGGAGGGTGTTGATGCTCCGGATTCTTTTGCGTCAGAACGCTGACTCCAGTTTTTAAATAACTCCCACCACCTCAGTGAGTCAGGTCCTGTCGTTCTCAGCCGTGGCTCGTCACAACTGGATGGATCTTATTAGAGCTGTTTGCTCTTTAACACACACACACAGTTGCAGCTATACTGTCTCATATATGCACACACACACAGCTGACGTGCATTCAACAGCGGTGTCAGTAGGGGCAACGGAAAGCCTTAGCAGACTGACGTCAGAGAGGATTAAGCTTGTTTCTCCAAAAGGATGGAGCCAGAGATGGAGATTCAGTTAAGTTTGCAGAAATTACAGCTCAAAATTTGACTTGGACTGAAGCTTTTAGACTAGAGTCTCCTAAATCCTTTTTTTTTTTCTTCAAATATGATCTGTGGTGAAAATAATCCATCTTTGAATTTTCTGACCAATTGAACCTGAAACTTGTAGTTTAATAACAGCATGTATTTATCTCCAAACTTTCAGAACACAATAAGCTTAATCTAAGCCTACATCTTAGTCTCTTGCTCTTAGGCTTCCTTTATCACAAGCAAAGAAACTTCCAGGCTTTCAAAATAAAAGCACCTCTAGTTTTTGTCCATATAGAAAAATACCATCATCTTTCTCATTCTCACAACAGGCATGCCTCTGTTAAATAGAACATCTTCAAACAGTGTCATTATTTCTATTCATATATAGAATTATTATTTACATAATTATTTATTTCAACTCTTGTTGTTATGATTGATTTTGGATTACAGCTAACAAAGCTTATTACATGAGAGAGATACAAAGTGTTCTATTTCTCTGTAGAAGCGCTGCATTACGCTGCTGTTTATATTTACAGCAGTCTCTAGTAGAGAGCTCCCACAAGGAGAATAAATCATAAAATTGCACTATTTGTTTTAGTTTTGTGTTCTTCATGGCAAAGGGAAATTGAGTGGAAGCTAAAGCTGTGGTGGAACAATGCCTCAGTCAGCAGAGCCCAAACCAAGGACTACATCCATACACTTTAGATTCACTCTGTGGTTAAAAAAAAATTGAGGTTTAACCAGAATCCTTGGATTTAGTAGAAACAATAGTTGTCTACTTATAATTTTTTTCCCAAGTTTTACTGATTAAATATAATTTATCTGAGGTGATTTAAAGAATTAAAAACTCAATGTTGACTGTCGCCTCTGGTTCTTCCATTCTTCCACTCGATTTGCTTAAAGATACAGGATTCCCATGAATTCAGCTATTTTTATTGTTTTCTACAAACATGGCTGCATGTTTAGCTCTCAAAAGGTCCTGCATGTTTACACTTTTTCATAAATTACAAAATTTTATTTGGGCGTTGTTTTTTGTTTTTTGCAATGCAAATTAAAAAGGGATTATTAGAATGATACATGGTTCTTTTTTTTCTTAACCTACATAGGTTATAGGTGGAGTTTTATATATATATATATCAATCCCTTTTGGTTCCTGCTCTCAGGTCTGGTGGCGTTCCGGCAGCACCTCCAAAACCTGGCGAGGACCAAAGGCATCTTGGAGCTAAATAAGGTCCAGATGCCTGTGGGGCCGATGGACTCTGGGGATGGGGGTGTCACTGGCCTCCTGGGACCACAGCATTATTTGCACAACCTGCTGGAGGTAAGTTTTCTCCCCACTCCAAAGTCTTTATTTACCTCATAATCAGCGCTCAGATTCATCCCCTGCTTCACTCCAGATTTAACATCTAACAGAAAGGATAAAAAAAATAAAATAAAAAAAAAAGCAGTAATAATCGAACACAAGCCGCCGGGCTGTTGTGTAACCCCAGGAGAGGCAGCCAACTCTGACTTGTTTACTGTCTCCCGTCCCCCTGGAGTTCCGAGCCTCGGCCAAAATGAATGCAGCCATTGTTGAAATCATTTGGACTCACCCATAGAAATGACAAGAACTACAATCACAGAAAAAGGCACACATTTATACACACAGCGGCGCACACAACAAAACAGTAACTATTCAAGGAACGAATTGTTGGTTTCCTGTAAACAAAACCTAAATGAGCATAAACGAGATCTTCTTGTTTTGTTTTTCGTGTTTGTTTATTTTTTTGTCCATTTTCATTATGCAATAAAGCTTCTCTTTGTTGGTTATGACCCTTGAAGCCCCATCATCCTTTTAATTAGCTTTCATTCCATTTACCTAATGTGAAATCCCTCTGGTACACGCCATTTAGGGAAAGGCATCAGGCCGATGAGTCGCCACACAGGCATCTGCGCAAGAGAAAGCAAAGATAATTCATTTAAGCTACATGAAGCGCCCAGACCCTGACACAGCTTTATTATCTGACGGGGGCGGATGAGGAGGATCTGTGATCTGAGCCTGTGAGGATTTTGTTTCCAATGCTTTATGTTTTTAATTAAAGGGTGAGGCCTGCAAGCAGCAGGAGGGCCTAGCTTTGTATCAAGGTGAAGCCCAGCCGCCTCTCCTGTCCCGCAGACAGAGTTTGGAAACACAGTACCTCACACACAGACTGCAGGTACAGTCGCCATTACTCACTCTGACCGTTTCTACAAGCTCAGACATGTTGATCACCGGCAGCCAACGACTGCTTTACTAAACCTCTGTCATTTACAAACTGAGAAAATTAACTAACACGATTGAAGAGTAGAATCAATTTTGCAAATGATCATTGTTTTCATTTTTTTTTTTTGTTTTGCCCAGAGGGCCAACATCTTGGCTAACAGTCCTGCTAGCTGTCAGATTTTCTGTAAGGAGACTCCTCGCAGTTTAGAGCAGCAGCTACAGGAACACAGGTAAAACAAAAATGTCTCCCCCTATTCCTGACTTTATGTTTCCTCCTCTTTCTTAATTCTGGTTTCCGTTAATGCAATTCATGCTGACCCTTACAAAAGGGTTCAAACACTTACACAGTTTAGCAATTATTACATCACAATCACAAACTCTAGGATATTGTATGGGGATATTATGGTATGAACCAGCTAGGCAGCAGACAGGTCAGAAATAAAGATTTTATCAGCTCTCAATCTATCATCAAAAACTGGAAAGCAACCACAACATGGCTCTGCAGCTAAACTGGCAACCAAGAGAAGGAAAGCATTAAATCAGCGAAAGAGACCTACTGGAGAAGCTGCAGAGAGGAACAGCTGTTAGTTGATCTGGCTTTTATGCAGGAGTGGCAAAAGTAAGATGTGAGATTAGACAGTCTGAAAGTATAGAGAACAGTGAAGATGTAGATGAAGGTTTTCTGGTCAGTCGAGACCAATATATAATTTTTTTTGCCTAAATGTAAAATAAAATGCGTGATGTGTAACCAACTCTGCACATCACCCTGAAGACAACATTCCTAGTCAAACACGGTGGTGGAAGCATCGTACTGTGAGCAGAGTGGGGCAGGGTGAAGATCAGTACAGGGTTAAACTGTTGAAGAGTGGCCTAGTCAAAGTTCAGACTTGATCTAAGAGAAAATCTGATTTAAGACCTTTAAATCAGGCGGCTCTAGTTGACCAGCCTGATTCTATGCTTTGTTCAGCATCATCCATGTTGCATTGCTGATTTCATGCCAAGCATGTTTTTGTTTGCCTTTCATGTGACTCTAATCTGCAGGGCAGCTTTAAGCAAAGTGGGATGTTTCAGTTCCACAAACGCTAAACACATTATTATAAACCTTTCCCTTTGTAGGGTGACGTCTCTGACCACGGAGCTATATCGTTCTCCCTACCCTTTTGCATTAGATAAGTTTTCTTTTCTGGGAAAACTGACACACATGCAACAGTTCAGCAAGAGACCGCTTGCAAATCTAGATTAGAGTTAGAATATGGCTTTTGGGTAACATTTTCCTACGTTGCCTGATTGTTTATTATTCAAAGTGTTTAATTGTTGTTAATTCAAAGCATCTATAAACCTTTCAGACTGAACCAGAAGAGGATGTACCTGCAGCAGCAGTCCCAGGGCATGGGGCTGCAGACCTATTTCAACCAGATGCAGATAGCTGAAGGCTCCTACCCACCTGTCGGCCCTGCTCTGGACCCTGCGTCCCCTCAGGGTCCCCTTCAGGGCCCCCCCATGTCGGCTGGCGGCCAGCCTCAGCCTCAACAGCAAGGCAGCCCTCAGCCCTCCTCCCCCTTCGGCCACACCCTCAGCCTGAGCCCCCTAATGGAGCCAGGCGAGGGCGTGGTTTACGACCCCTACATGAGCCATCACCACTACACCCAACATCTGCCTCATGGAGCCCACCTCCACCACCAGCTCCACCACCAGCAGTCTCATGATTCTTCCAGTAGTTGCCTGGGCTTCAGTTTCCCTGCAGGCTGCGAGCAGCAGGCCCTTGGCCCCTCCCCTGATGCTCTTCCACCAGACCAGTACGAGTTCTCCATGAACCCTGCCTTGCTGCCACCACCTTCCCCAGGAGAGGCGGAGGCCACAGCGATGCCTGGGGCTCTGGCTGGATCAGCCCAGTCGGAAAACCTGGGAATGAACGAGCTGCCTGGTTCTCTGCTGGACAGCGAGATGATGGAGACTGTGGACTCGCAGCAGGGCTTCGTAATGGTCAACTGATCCATGCCAAGGAGGTTATTAGAGAGCAGTGTTAAAACAGCGACACAGAATTAAGAACAGGGAGAACGGAGATGTAAGTGGAGGTCTGAAGTGTAGCAGCAGGGAAGGATGTGTTCATTTTTGTGCAACTAATAGAAACTTCATTTCTTAGTTGTAAGAAGCCTCAAGATTTGTACCAAAATCCTCCCTCATCCTGCCTCCCTTTCTCCCTCTACTCCCCTGTTCTTGTCTTCAACCGCTCCGCAAGGCAGGAGGAGGCCCGTCGCCGTGCCGACGCGGTGAGGCTGCTGTCGCCACGTGCGCCCAGCCGTTTTAAGAGACTGGCGGAGAGTTTGCTGCACATCCTCATTTCATCTAGAAATAGCTTGAAAGCGAACTAATTTAGGGACATGAAACTGAACGGCAACCAAAAGCACAAAGGCTGGTCGTCAACAATAAGACTGGTTCTGAAAAAGACTTCTGTGGATTTATATTGGGTTCGTTTTGAGAGGATGGAGGGAAAAAAAAGTGAGCAGGAGAAGATGGCCCTCATTTATCACGGTACCATGAATATCGACATGAATTCAGGCGATTCAAGCTTGTTTTTTTTTGTGCATTTCTGTCATAATGCTCATAAACAGGTTTCAACACTATCACTGATAAACTAACAGGTATTAAATACCCTCAACCGTTAAGGACACTTATTTTATTTTTTGTGACGTTTGATTCATAAATTGTAACTACTGATCTCGAGCTATTTTCAACACTACTGATTGCTGTCCCAAATTCAACCGTTACCATGGTTACCAGTTCAGCTGAAGTGTGGGTCATGCCTTCGCCTGGTAAATGAGGGCTGATGTTGATTAAACGCCTAAAGTTGAGGGTTAGAGTTCAACATGTGTCTCTGTTTCTGTGGCAATACTGAAGCAATATTAATCCTGAATGTTGTGGGGGGGGTGGTGTAGTGAACGGAAGCCTCTGATTGGTCCGCTGTGGGCTTCGGGAGTTGACGTAGACGGAGCAGATGACGTAAGCAGGAGATAATCTCACTGTTGTTCGCTCTAGAGATGTTGCAGGGTGGACTGAGTGGAAAAGTTGGACGTTTGTTCAGTTGTCCACATCTTCCTGAAAGACACAGGAAGTGGTGTCTTTGCCCTGAAAGCATCACAGGTTGTCTTTTTAAGGTACTCGGCTGATGGGGAGTTTTAGGTGGATAAAAAATAGCATTTTGCACAGTGTTTGTTTTTTAGATTATTTCTGGTTTACTTCCTCTGCTCCAAGATTCTCCTGAGTGAAGATTCCCGTCTGAAGCCCAGCATCCTTCAGCCGGCAGGGAATCTTTGTTTTCTCACATCTCTTTCAGGTTGTTTTCTGTTTTTTTTTTTTTTTGTTTGTTTTTTTCCTTTAACGACACTCAGACTCGATCTACTAGATATAACTCTGACAGATGATGGGTCAGAATGACAGCAGTTGAGCTAAGATTACTGAACTGCGACCATCTGCCAGACTGCGTGGCCTGCAGTGGTTTGTGGTTAAACTGTAGGAAGGTTTGGTGTCGCATCCAGCAGCAGACCAACGTTTGTTCGACCCAAAGTGGAAACTGACAGTTGAACCATCTGTGGTGACAGAAACAAGAGGTAATTGTAGGAGAGTTTAAAGGTAAATCAATCCAAAATTGATCTGTTATGCTCATTTGTAACATTCCAGAGGTTATTTTAATTGTTCCCTTTTGTCTTTTTTAGACCACAAACTTCCATGGATCTTATTAGGATTTATTGCGATCCACCTAAAAAAGTAGCAGATAACCTTGTAGTGAAAGGATTGTTATGTAAAATTCTCAAACATATTAATACATTTTCTTATTTCATCGTAGCTCTGACTAGATTGTTAAAGTCCATATTGGGGCCTGTGTGTAGCTCCGCCCCTTTTCCCATATACTCCAACCATATCTCTGCTGAACAATATTTCCATACCATGATGCTGCCACCACTGAAACTTAACTTAAGTTTTTGGGGGTTTCTTTCAAATCTGGATAAGTATGGAAAAATGTTGGATTTTCAAGCTTAATAAAAAACATTTCAGGAAGACAAAGGACTATTCTGATGGCTTTCCGAACATCCAATCTATGAGCAGAAATGGATGTGCTTTGTTTTAAAAAAAAATTTTTTGTGTGTTTTTTTTTTTTAGAGGGAGTTCTGTTAGAATCTTTGGTTCATAAACTTTGTCCAATTTGAATTATTAAAGAAATACTTACAAAAAACGTATACTCATGTTTTCACAGATAAAGGAAAAAAAGACTCTCCTTAAGCTGCAATCCGGTACGATTATAGATGCGCTTTATGTAGTAAAGCATAAGCCAATCCAGGGCAGAGATGGCGATAGATTATAGATTAATATACGGAGCAGATATTAGTGTGGTTAGATCATAAACCAACTTTTTATAGAGAAGACTTTTCGAAATGATAAAGATTTTTTGTACTCCTATTTTGAGAATGTTTTGGAAACTGCTGGAGAAATCAAAAAACTTAAAAATGTGGACGGTCTTTTTTTTTTTTTTTGATCCAATCTGATCAGGGATCCTTCAACATGTTAGCTGTTCCCACTTAAATGTCTTGTTGACATTTTTGAGATATTCTTTTCCATCCAATCTGGGAAAATAGTATAAAGTACTGTAGTAATCACCAAGGAAACACCATCCTCACTGTAACTTTAGGTGGTGGCACCATCATGCTGTGGGGTTGCTTTTCTTCAGCGGAGACTCTAACTCTATAACACTATAAGCCCTTTTGTTAGGTTGACTTAACAGTAACACTTTTGAGGTATTTGGTCGCTAGTTGCTAATGCTTCCAAAAGCCTCAGTTGACCAGAATGCATTGCAGGCCCGTGGTCGTATCAACAGTTCCTTCTAAACTCAGCCTGTTTGGGATCATTCAGCCATAGTTTGTTTCAGGGAATAAGCTCTTGGCCAACTTGTGGGTTTAAATAGGAGTGAAGTGAAATTTATGAGGCTTTTTTTAGGGAACACTGGGGGGCTACAGACTGATCTTTGAAGGTTGAGTACTAGAGCACTTTGATGACGACGAGGAAGAAGAGGTGTAGCGAGGGAGGAGAAAAAGGTGGGAAAGATTTGCGGCTTCCTGGCAGATGAAACGGACCACAATCAGGAGGAAACACCTTTCTCCTCTCTCTTCCCCAACAGTAATGGACAAAAATAAAACAACAAATTTTCTTTCAAAGAAAGACCAGACTGAGTGTGACGCTCCGTCGATCGGAATCTGAGAAAAAAAACACTTTTCAGTTTATTATGATGAGTGTTCTTGGTGGCTGTTGTGATCCTCGCCCAGAGGAGTTGTTGAATAGTGTTCAGTGTGCCTTTTTACTTCTTTTCAATCTCAGTTCCATTGACTTTTTCTGGTTTGACTCTTATTTCGTTTACTTTATTACAATTACTTCCTCTCTGTTTTTATGATTGTATTTTTTTTCCTGAAAGTTAGTAGAGCCAGGTTTTCCAAAGGTACCAAAGTCCTTGAGAAGTTTCCCTGTACGACCCACCGTGTGGAGTTTTGGAGCTTCTTTATTATTTTTCTCTGTTGTTTTTTTTTCTCCTAGCTGGTCGATCTGTGTATGCCATTTTAAAGTATTATAGCAATATTTCTGTAGTTGAGGACTAAAGTCATGAAGATTCTAGTGGATGTGTTTCCAGGTATCATAATTTCACCTCCTGCTGATTAAAAACAAACAGGAAAAAAGAGTCAATCAATAGAAATCCAGTTTTATATTTACCTTCATTGATGTTGACCACACATAAGCTAACTTGCTGTTGAGATTAAAAAGGTTTATTGAACGGAATCATGGGTTTTGTGTTTGTTAATTAGATGGATCAAAGGAGTGCTTTGCAGATCTGGGGATCCATCCATCTACTCCTCTCATTGATTTATTTCTCCATTCTTTAACACTCCATCCCTTTCCCATTTCTTAATCTTTGTTTTTTTAATCGTCCTTCTATCCTGTTATCCATACAGCTGTCCATTGATTTCAGTTTGTTCAATTCAAAAGCCCACTTCTCCATAAATAAAGCTTTTTATTCCATCTATTAATCCTTTCATATCACTAACCCTGTCTTCCTCACAGCGATTTTAAGTGACTGCAGTATAGAAATCAGCAGAGATGTATGTAGAATGTGCAGGAACCTTATCGTCACCTCATCCAGTAGTCCTATACCTTCAGCCTCTGGCTGCAGCGGTGTAAACGGGAATGTGTCACCTGGAAGATGCAGTTATAAACTGTGGAAAACCTGGAATCGTGCAGCAACATTTTGCCCAAGGTGAGGGACGGTCCCGAAGCTCCTACCAACACCTATAACAACCAACTGACTCAAGATCCCTTTAAATTAAAGCTTATGCTGTAAATGTCTAAGCATCACAGTCCAAAATCAAACTGCTGTAAAGTCAAAGATGTTGTGGAGGATGTTCTTTCTCTTTCAAAATAAGTGGTCCTCCTAATTTTCAATCAATCCAGTGATATGAATAGGTAAGGCTGTCCTATGTGCTCGTCCCCATTTTCACTAACATTGCGAAAAAAATTTTTAACAGTCTCGCATGCTTTTAATAAGCGTTCCTTCTCGGGAGCGTGCACAGAGGTTGGACATTATGCTTTTTTTTTTCCAAGTGGAGAGAGCGGTCTTATAAAAAAAATTGTGACAATCCTCCACTATACCTTTAAGGTCCTAACAGCTGCTTTCAATACCCGATGACTCACTTTAATCCCTCTTTTTCAGGCCTTGTTGGTGTTTATTGAGTTCCTCATATTTCAGATGAACCTAAACCTGCTGCCTGGTTATTTACAGTAACCAGGCCTGTTTATATAATGCGACACCTGCAATGATCAGTTTGGATCTGCTTCAGTCCTGCATGTCCTCAAATGAATGTTTAAGCAAACTCTCCATGACTGACATGCAGCAGTAGTCATGGACTTTGGGGGGTTAGTGGCCATGCTTTTCCTACATAATCATCTGCATGACTCATATACTGCAGTAAACAAGTAATTACTCTTTCAGAATTGTTTTTCGTCCTGCTGTCATTGGACACAATCAGGTAAACCTATAGGTACAGGTATAAATATCTAAATGGTAGTTTGTTTGTTTTTTAGTGTATAGAAATAAAAAGGAGCTTGTTAGCTGACAGGTGAGGGTTAAAGTGACTGAAATGGTGAAATTAGCTCACACACGGGTGAATAGCAGCTCGGTGTCGGACGCAGTGCTGCACATCATTAAAGTAACATTTTCTCCTGTTTGTTGTAGGGCCATTTGGGCTTAAGTTATTTTATGAATTAATCTCAACCCATCATCAGCTGTTTGTGACTTTGTCTAACAGGCTCAAACATTGTTAAATCTCCAGACATTAATCATGCTCTGAGTCATTGTCCCTCCAGCGAGTTTTAGCTCTACCTCAGAGGCTCCACCCATAGAACCACACCTCATCGTCTCCATGACTACACCTCCTCATCAATACCTCATTAACAATAAAATTCGCAAAATTCATTTCAAAATTCTTCATCACTTCTGTCCTGCAACTAATAAAATATCTAAATATGTTGAAATAAATTCAAATAGTTCCTTCTGCAATACTGAACCTGAAATAACCCGTCACCTATCCTTCACATGTCCTGTAACAGACTTAGACAGATTTATTTTGTCAATTTGTATAAACGAGTGTAAATAAAAATAAATTTTGTTTAAAATGGCTCTAGACAATTTCATTTTTTAAAAGTGCAGCCTTCAAAACAGTAATAAATACATTAAAAAATAGTAATATAAACATATGACTGTATATTTACAGTTCTAACTTTTTTTTTTACATCCTTCAGGAAAGCACTAGAGCAGTTCTTATCTCCAAAATTAACTCCAGTATAACCCTCTCTGGCCATAGCATTATCATTATTTTTACACACCCAAACAAGGAATTGGCAAACTAAATAATTATTATATATTATATGACATATTTCACATTTATAGAAGTAAAGTCAATCAAACTAAACACTCCTTATTTTTGTTAGATACTGAAATAAAGTAATATAAAGAATCTGCAAATCAGATCAACAATAAACTAACTCTATAGTTAACGTTTGCCCCTCAAATGCACTTGTTTTTGCAAATCTACTTCCTTTTCTTATTATGTACTTCAAATTACAGTAGTATCAATGTCTCTTCTTCTATAAATATTTGATATATTTTTTCCTGTATCTTATGTATACATGATTATTTTTTTTCTGGGCTCTTTCTAATGAGTGTTATCCTCCAGAAGGGGCTAAATAATTTAAGAGCAGAGAGGGGGGCTGCAGCCTTGACCAGTGGCTGAGATCTGATGCCAAAATTAATCCTCCTTCTGGGAAATGATCTGGTAACTTTTAGGAAACACAAACAGCATTTGTTGCTCAGTGGAAAATAATCTAAACTGATTGTTGTTAACAGACAGCAGGTTAAAGCAAATTGATGCAATCGGGTTAAAGGAGGGAGAGCTAAGGCTATCAGAACAACACAGGTTTGTAACGTGTAGAGAGAAGACCAATCCAGTCAGACTGAGAACAGCTAATCCTACTAATACACCGACAGAGGTCGATGGGGTGGGAGGGGATGCTAGAAAGGGGTCAGTCTGTTCATGGAAACCAGAGCCGGGCTTCTTTTCCTGGGATAAGACCATGTGCACAGCTCTCTGCTGGTGCTGCAGGGCCGAAGCGTCCGACCGACATAGGTCAGGTTCTTTAATGACCAAACAAAACTCCCTCTGGATCAGATTCCAGTCGACCCCATTCCTCAGCTTTCAGATCTTTAACAGAAGCCAAGTTTCATGTGCTTTGAGTAAGTAATAAAAATAAACTGAATGCATAATAGAAATATTTAACACACAATTTATATTTAATTCCGAAAGATAAGAGGCTCAAAAGAAACTGATAGTCTACTTGATCTTATTTGGAACTCTGCATTGAAACTTTAAATGGTTTAAGCAGCATTTCAAGCATCGTTTCTATTTTAATATTTTATTTTAGGAACAGAAACCAATGATCTCTGTCTATTCTGCATGAAGTAATAGAATTTTCAACTCTTTCTGATCCAGCTCATCATTCTGAGGATATGGAAAAACTTGCTCAGTGATTGTTGCAGATCTTGGTCATGCCTTGGTGACAGAACGCAAAAAAAAAAATGTCATCAGCAGAGTTTTATTAACAGATGTGATATTTTATAATCTGGGCCTAATATTGTATAATAAGCGTCGACTGAGTAGGGAACCTTGTCCTATTGCTCAGATCTACAAAAACTAGATCCCACAGAGGATGCCAGGTCTGTAGGAGCTAAACATGCTGCAATGAAATACCAAGGCATTGTTCTTACATGTTTATCATGAGAGTTATTTTATCCAAGACTTTAACTAATGCAGAATCAATAAGATTTATTTTCTATTTGACAAAGTGCATTTTCCCAAGAAGTAAATACAAATGTGCAGCCTGGAACCACATTTCCCTGCAAAGACACCAGCCTTTTTTTTATTTTAATGATAAACAGGGTTATTTATAGTTCACATTCAGTGCTGCTGTGATCTCCTGCAGACTGTCACAGACCCTCTTGAGATACAAGAAGAAGAAAGCGGATGCAAGGGCAGACAGTGCTAATCTTTTCCTTTTTTTCCAAGTAAAATATCACAATACCAGAGGCCCCCATTCAGTCATCAGGCCAGAGTTACACTGTAATGACATCAATGGTTGCCAGGACAACCGGAGGAGGATGGATGACAACATCCTGCTGAGTCTTTTAGAGCAGGAGATCACAGCGCTGTTCTCGATTAGAACTGCAGGAAGAATAAAAGCCTCGGGATGCATGTATGATTTATAGAAATAAACAATGGCAGACTTGCCGGTGTGGCAGTAGAAGATGTGCTTTTCTCATGGCATGTCTGCATGGTGCCGCAATCCATGCATGAATCTAATTAAACTCATGTATTTATTTATTTTACCAAAAAAATGTAATTCTCAAATCATTCTTTAATTTCCAGAAAATTTTTCATTAAAATAATCACTAAACATAATTAAGAGATGCACCTCATTACCAAAACAAAATGCCTCCCTATGTGTGAGGATTAGGGGTCATGTTTACTTGTTACTGAAGGTCAAACAGGCTAAACGCCTGCAGGCCAGCAGATTGGATGGAGTCTTAAAATCCCAACACACATGGCCCAATAATGTTAGGGGGGAAAAAAATCAGGAGGCAGAGAAGCCTCCGGGCGCAATGCTAGAGCAGCAGGCCAAACGCTCATCGCTTCACAGATCTTCTGATACACTTGAAGAATGGAGGAAGAGAGCTGAAGCGACAAGGTGACTTAAAGAAAAGGAGTCGCCTCCTATCCCTGCCTGATGTTTGTCATTTGTCATCCTGAGCATCTGACCTCACTCTGTGTGTCTGTGGCGCTGTCACGCTGTGTGGGGGCTTTGCTTGACTCCTTCCTTTATAAATGACACAGTCCTGGGAGGCAGCTGCATTGACGTCAGGCCTCTCAGCTCCATCAGGGGCTGGAGCTGCTGAAACTCCCCAAATAACTGGATCCAAATAGAGAAACTGGCTGCTGCTGTTTTATTACTGCCTCATGAACTGAAGTGGATTTCAAGGGTGGATTAGCCTCTCGTTTGTCCAAGCAATCGTGTTTTAATGAAGGTTTTCAGCTGGAGGGAGGATCTCCGTCCTCCTTCCTCATCTGATCTGTGAGGAAAAGATGTTTTACTATCATTTTTAAATGGATCTTCTGTTACTGTTGGATTTCCTAAGCCTTAAAGTGATGTCAGGGCTCTATTAAAGGCACCTCTTGACTCATCAGGTCTGGTGTAGTAATGGCCAAAAAAGTTATTTTTGGCAACATTAATAAGCTTGACTTACTGTTGCATTATCATACAGATAATCTTTGGAATATTTAACAGTAGGTCAGGTGATTAGTCTTCTTGCAAATATAAAGTAAATCCAGAATTATTCATAGATGTAGTCACTGTAGATGTTTTATCTCTAAATGATTATTCTTTTTTTATGATCTCAGATTGTCTCATTAACAGGCATGCTGCTATTAGTAAGAGTCATTTTGAGCCAGACTGTACAATTTTTATGTATCTGAGCAAATTAATTAAGAAATCCTAAGAAGACTGGCAGTGAAACAAGAAATGCAGTCCTGTGTTCATTATTAGAGTTTGTTTCAAAGCTACACCAGTAATATAAATGGTGGGAACGTATTTATTGCCGCTTTAAAATGTCAATAGTTTGAACACTGCTCATATTCACACCAGATGTCGGGTATAGCTGTATTTTATACCTTCATTTGATATAAAAAGTATTGTTAAAAGAAAAAAAAAGAAGTGTGTAAAGAGAAATTCTTTTTTAAGCAGTGCAGAATGAAATCCTGCAGTCGAAGGGTTGGATGGAGGAAAGAGAAAGCTCAAAGAACCAAAGAGGACTGATGGGAGATTTGAGATTAAAAACAGTGAAGCTGAAGCTCTCATAAAGGACTCTACCATGTGATTTATCACCATAATCCTCTCCATCAACTGCTCCTTTGGAATGAACAGAACGGATGCCACATCTGCTTTTGCAAAAACATAAAATTGAAGAGTTCAACTCTGGTTTTAAGCCCCTCCCTCTTCCTGTGGTTAAAACAAAGATCCAAACATGTTTTCTCCCTAAACAGACGACTGAAGCCCAGCCCTGGTTCTGCAGCGCTGCTCAGGGCAGGTGTCAGGAGTCTGACCCTGTCCTGCTCTGCATGCTCCTCTGAGGCCCAAACACATCAGAGGATCCTCTCTTTCATCTCCAACCAGACCAGATCTAAGAAAACGCTAAGCTGGGATCGTGGAATTAATAACAGCAAAACACCAGTGAAGCAAAGAGGTGGTTTTCATTCCTTCGTCCTTATAGGCGAATAAAATGAATGAGGTTTAGCATCGTGTGGAGGAAAAATAAGGCTCCATTATAAAGTGACAAGAGGGACCTTGTTTCAAACAGAGGTTTGAAACTGTTTACAGCTCACCCGCTTTCAATGCTCTAAACCCTTTTAGGCAAAGTTAAAGCAACACCCTACAGAGAAGCAGATTTATTCAGCCCTCAGAGGAAGCAAACCTTTCAAATTACGTTCAATTATCACATCTGACATTAGTTTTATATATATATATAGATATATATATATATATATATATATTTAAAAAACAATAGAATAACAGTAAACCAAAGCAAGAGAGTGAGGAGCTGCAGAGCTCAGGTAGAAAATCTTATTGTGTTAGCCAAATCTGGGACTGTATGGAGGAGCAGGAAGTAGAAAGCCACGAAAAAAAAGGCACACATATGACAAAGATATAGAGAAAAAAAAATGGGAGAACTTCATTTTCAAGATGGAAACAGTGGTGGCAGCTTCATGCTGTGGGAATGCAGAGAATATGCAGAATGGAGCTCAAATCTATTTTATGGTATTAACAAGTTGGCTGATTTAGACCAAACAGGTCAAGATTCGAGTCCAACATGTGAAAAGCTGAAATTCATCTAGACCTACGTCTGGCGACATGTTGTACTCCAAGTTTCACTTCTGTTTGAATCCCTTTTGAAATGAGATAAGGAAACTGCACATCTGTTGTGGCAAACCTAAAAATAAATCCCCTTCATTTCGCCTTGTATCAACCTGGCAAAGAGACAAAGTATCGTACCAACAAGAGACGGAGACGAGGGTAAACAGCTTGTTTGTTACTTTATTTGGATCAAGATACAGTAGTACAACTTCCCAACTGTGAAGAGGATTTAAAATAAAAATCCGAGCACAGTCTGTGATACAGAACAATTGACACTTAAGGTTTATTCAAGAGAAGAGAATGAGAGGAGGGGGGTGAGGAGCAGATCAGAGAAAGACAAAAGTTGCTTTTATGAACACAGAGTCCCGGTTTATTCAGCCCCCCCATAACTACCCCCCCAATAAAACATAAATCAGCTCCAGCTATCCCCCACCCACTTCCTTTGAAAGCATGCATTTGTTCTCCATTAGAACGAGTGGAGGACTCTGCATGAATTTAAGCTGTCAACATTAGTTTTACCATGCAATAACAACTAACAGATTACTGTAAAGAAAAAGCAAAAGCAGGTTATCCAGGCATACACAAACAGATGACGCTATTAGCATCATGCTAAATGTGGGTTGGTCCCTGTTAAACACTGAGCAGAGGCAAAATGGTAGTTTGGCCGATTCAGTCCGTTTATTCCCTGCGTTCCCTGCAGGGAATAAACGGAGCGAAGGAAGCCTCAGTCTGGTAGATGGAACACGATCACTGAAGGTTCATCTGATTACTTCAGCGATAAACACCCCAATATGTCATGAAAAAGCTTGATTTAAACATTTAAGAGGCAACAACTGTTCTTATAGGGGGAGAACTTAAGCCTCATGGAGCCAATTTAACCTGCAGATAAAAGTTTCCTTCTGGAAAAAGGTGCAGCAGCACAGAAAGCTAGCTCAGACAGTGCGCCGTGAAGGGGTCGTCTTTGATAGCGACAACTACTGCATGCACCACTTAATGTAATTTGAATCATAGCTTTTTTTAGATAAAAGCTCCATTTAAAGCAAAGCGGCCTCTGCTAGCTCGGACACGGGCTGTCATTGGACAGTAAAAAAACAAGACAAAAACAATGAGGAGGGTAGATAAAACAATCGTTAACAGCTTTCTATACATCAACCAGTTGTTCCTGAACATCAATAAATATCTTCTAAACCTGTATGTATTTCTGTTTCAGGGGGATTAGCCGTGGTGGGTTGGTTATGCTAGTGCCAAAACTGTAAGGAGAAAGAGGGAAAAAAAAGGTTATGGTTGGAGAGTAAAGTTGATTAATGTCCAAGTAGTTCCACAGTAAGAGGAGGAAATGCTCACCACTAATAGCCTCCTGGGCAAAGTATTTAACGTCCATGTCGGAGTCAGTGGCCAGCTTCTCCAGCACTGGCTTCACTTCCGTCTGCAGAGCGCTGGAAGTAAACACATAACATCAGCTTCATCTGTTGAACAAAGATCAAAGCATCTGAGGATCTCTGTTCTACTCTAGGGAGGAAGCCAGCAGACGTACCTGCTGTCCAGGACTGGGCCGATCTTCTGAAGAGACTTAGCCACGTTAAAGCGGACATTAGCCACCTGGTCATTGGACATCTTCAGGACCACTGGGAGCATCTGCTTGGTGGTGATCTCCTGGCCGCAAGCCTCTGACAAAGCCTTAGAGAGCAACAAAAAAAAGTTTAACTTGTTCTGTCTATGGAAAAATTAAACAAAAAGGCATCAGTAAAAGGCTTTTCCTCACATTAATGCAGAATAGCGTGGTCATCCTGTGCAGGTAATTGGGATCGTTGGCCATTCCCAGCACTTTGGGGACAATCGTGTTCTGGGCCCACTCAGCTCCAAACTTCTCTACCAGCTTAGTGAGGTTACTGGTGGCTGCTTCACGGATGGCGTACACTGAAAACAAGTACAGTTACATCAGTCTGATAACTGATTGGTGCTGCAGTAGCTCACTGCAGGGGTTTTTAACCAAGAGACTGGATGTGAAAAAAAAGGATGTTTTGAACATCAGCAGCTGACATGTATCCCAGAAACCGGAAACTCCTCCCTCTCCTAACAGGGTGAACACATGGTTCCAACTACAGAGACACAGAGATGCAACAAAAACACTACTAGGACCCGTGTTCCAAAAAGAAAACACCACAAATACTTTCCAAAGCTTTTTTTAAAATAATTTTCTTTGGTTAGATCAGAGATTTAGGTTTTAGTTTGCGGTGCTTGTTAAACAAGCATTTTTACCAGGGTTGCAACTAACGATTATTTTGCGAATCGATTAATCTGCCAATTATTTTTTCGATTAATAATCGCATAGCCAAAGGTTCCTTAAAGAAGATTTTTAAGAAATTAAACAAGACAAAACTCAAACTTTTCCATTTGAGGAGTTCTGGATAGAGCATGTTGACAGATGAAAAATATTTTCATCTTAAATGCAAACTTTACTTTTTTTTTTAAATAATTTTTATACAATTACAGTTTAAAGTGGATTTGCTCTGTCAGTTAAACCATGTTTAAGAATATCTATACTCCAGTTAATGATTAATCTATTACTAAAATAATTCACTATTATTTCAATAATCGATAAATCAGATTAATTGTTTCAGACCTAATTATTACAAAACTTATAAGGTGTTAAAGAGGAAGTCAGGTGCAGAAGAGATGGTCTGTCACATGACTTCAACTTCACAATGTCGGAGACTCCAGCAGATACACCTACACACCATAATTTAGTTATTTCTAATGTTAGCACTCATACATGTCAGTATCAGTCAAAGGACAGTTCCAACTCTTATGGGGTTTAATCCCAAAATCCCAGACCAAAATTACAAAATTAAAATCTTTTGGGGGGATTTATAAAAGTTTCAAATGATTTCATAATTCTGCAAGACATTTAAATTAAAAATCCTAACTTTATGACCATTACATTTTAAAAACACACCACTTTTAAATGTCCTCACTGTCCTTTAGTTCTTACAGTCATGAAACAGCTTAAAGTAAGAAATAAAAACAATTAACTCAGTCAATATCCCGTAAGGTCTTAATTTCAGTACCAGAAATCATGAGGTAAAACCAACAGGAGTTATTCTTCTAACAGAGTCTGTATGGGAAAGTCTTTCTCTTCAAGGCTTACATAAGGCTGGCACGGCCCTAACCCGAGCCGTTCACACAGAAACTCACACCAACAGCATTCCAATGATGTAACCCAGCTGGCCCTTTGTCCTCCGCGCCGAGTATCTGCCTCTCTAATTGGAAACTCAATGTCAAGAGAACACCACATCCACAGTGAATGCTTCATGATAGATATTTAAGTTCTAGAGCTCAGCAGGGTGTGTTGTAGAGCGGCACATTAGAGCGGCTCCTCTGGCGCTTGAGCAGAGGCGGCTGCACCGCAGAACAAAGGACTAAAGAGGCGGAGGGGGGTCGACAACAACCTGAATGAGCTTTGTTTAAATCTACACATGATTTAAAAAAGCTGATTTGTTGAGGTGTTTCCATTTTATAACTGCATGCTGCCATTTTTACACTTTCACATCCATACACAAAAGATTCAATTAAATATCCTTTTTAGATTTTTCACACCAACATAAAACTGGGTCAAATCAACTTACTTCATTATATATTACTTATATTACACCCTACTTTAACTTTATTTTCTTGCAGTATACACAAGAAGGTTATATTATTTTATTTTAAATCAATGGCTGTAAATATGAAATAATCCACCGCACTTTTGTGCACAATTGAGTCAAACTAATAAAGTAAACCAGGTTAAACAGCAAGCTGCAAACCTTAACCTGTAGTTTATAGTAAATCTGATTAACTTGAAGCTGAATTCCAATCAAAAGCCACATAACCATATAAATAGAAGACAGCTATAATTATTTAAAGAAAAACATGTTACTGGAAAAGATAAGATGGAAACATAACGAAAGCTGCTAACAGTTCTGACAGCTACTAGTCATGTTCTACATGTAACTACCTGCTGTATAGTTTACATCCACCCTCAGCTAACAACATTAATTATTTTGGTGTCATGAAACTGAATGTAAACCTCTGGGCCATAATGCCTACAGTCAGTTTGGCAAGAAAACCACACGTCACCATGGAGACACCACATCCACAGGTAAACATGAGGGTGTTGGCATCATAGCCTGGTAGAAACTCATCAGCTCAGTTTTTCTTCAGCTTGACAAGCTCTGAAACCTTCAGGTGTTTCCTGGAAAGCTAAACAACATCATAACAGTAACAGACGATTCAATAAGACAAAGATCTAAAAGCTGATGCTAATTCTGGAGCCTCACTCAGAAGGACGACGTTAAGAAATGGCCTCGTGGTTAGAGCAGTGCAATTGTGCTCTGAGAAGGTTGCAAGCACTCTGAGTTCCTGAGCAAGACCTTAGCTCCGCACAATGGCCACCCTCTGCTCCCCAACTGGATGGGTTAAATGCAGAGAGCGAATTTCCTCATTGTGCGAAAATAAAGGGTTTTACATGTCCTCAAAATGTTGTAGATTTTATGAACTAGTATGAGTAAAAGACGCTGCTTCACAGTATCAGTGTGTGGACATTTACTGAATCAGATTATAGATTCTTTATTGTTTTGCCTCTAATTGATCTGTTTTAAGTTGAATTTTACTGTATTAATGTCAAACTAATAATGAAAAAAAGCTTTAAGGCAATATTGAATCTCATCATTTTACATTGTAAACACTAAGAATAGACAGAATGAATGAGAATCTTCACACCTACAGTGAACATGCACAGGAAATATTAAAATACTACAATACTAGTCTGCAGCACAGACTTGGACTAAAATAGTTTCCCAGCCCCTGCCTTTCAAACGATCCTTTTGTAACTGCAAACAATAGAATAGCAGTAGCTCTTTCAGATCAACAATAAAGCCAAGGGCTTCAAACTGCCACATGTCATCCCGCCTTTTATCTCTGCTAACATTCCTTCTGCTTTCATTCCTGAACTCCAAAGCTCACCGTGGTGCTAATCATGTACCGTCTATGAAGGAACAGAAGACCTGTCAGAAGGCAGGCTGATATAGCTGCTAATGCTAAAGAACAAAAGTTTTAAAAAAAAATCCCATTATGATGTTTTCAAGTGTCACAGCTGGATCAGACTGTAGAGGAAAAGGTTTGGGAAGATCCTTACCATGATCAATGAGCCAGGCCATACAAAGGGTGTTTAGCTTCTCATCAAAGAACTCGACCCCCTGAGGAGCAAAAACAACCACAGCTCAATTAGGCCGACCTTATAACCATCTACAGCTCCTCTAATGTGTTTGTTTATAAACCTCTAATACTTCAGCTCACAAACAGGGGAGTTTATAGGACATTTAAAGCATTGTTTTCCTTAGACCACATGACTCACCAGCTGTCCTGCCAACAAAGGCATGTACTCAATGATGGCCAGGCGGACCCTCCACTTTGCATCTTCAGCCAGCTCTACGATAGCAGGCAGCAGTGACTGGGACAGCTGACGTATGCCGATCACCTCGTTCACACAGTCCAGGTTGGAGATAATGTTGAGACGTACCTCTGGGCACTGAAATAGAAAATAAGATGATAAAACAAGTCTATGTCAGGAAACTGTTACACTTTCTCACTCCATATAATGTAGACTAGCACCAAAAGTCAGCCTTCATCTTCCTAAAGCTAAACAAACCCCTAAACTTTAAGTGAAAAGCAGTAAAACAACCAAGAAAACAGTAACAACTCTACAGGTAGTCTGAGACCTATCTCAGTTTAGTTCTGATAAATGCAGCTTTGGGTGAAATTTGCAAGTCAAACCTGTTAGCCTGGAACATAATATTGTTAGACGGTGATGGCCTGCTTTAAAGAGACTTAATACAAGTCTAGGAACCCCTAAACATTTACAGGTCTCTGTCAGCATACATACGTTCTACCGGATTTCAAATGCAAACTATTTCTAATTAGTACATTTATTTGCTGCAAGCTGGAAGACTAAAATTCACATTTATTTCCCTTCACTGGACACTCAAGAATTAGTTTTAAAGTGAAAAACAGCAGCAGGTGTCAGGTTTTATTATTCTAACTGTAGTAAGGTTCCACCTTTGATTCTAACCTTTCAAATCTATAAATGCTCTCAGAAAGCATCAAGCAGGAGACTTTCTCCTTACATTTTAGCCAGATTTTTCAAAGTGGTTCCACTAAGAGCCAGACAGTCACCAAATAGAAGGTCTATGTTTGGCTGTCAAGCAGCCGGTTACATCAGACGGCTCATTTTTCAGCAATGAGAACGAATAACATGCTTCAAGGTTAAGATGCCTTGTTAGAAGCTTTTTGTGATTAACACCAACAAACAGCCTAAACAAGAGTTTGTATGGAGGAGCGACCAAACCAACAAAAACCTCCCAAAGTGGCCCAGTTTGGTTACCTCGTCCTTAAGCTGAGTCAGGAAGAGAGGCAGTAAGTGCTCTATTGTGTTGTCCTTGCCCAGGATGGTGGAGAGACCCATAATGACAGAGGCCAGGGCTGACTTCACATGCTGGTTGGTGTCGGAAACCAATTCCTGGTCAGGGAGAGAAGACAAAGATGAGAACAGACAGGAAACAATCCAGTCGTGTTTGTGACTGCAGCATAAAGATAATGCAGCTTTAGGAGATACAGGCTTTTGTTGGCATCACATTTGCAGTTTTCTAAGAAACTGTTTGCTGCTACCCGCTCAGCTTTGCCTCAATGTTGACATGTTGACAGGATAAGCAGAGTAACACTTCCTTTCATATATTTTTTTTTTGTTTGTTTTGTTTTAAAACAAAACTAAATTTATAGATTCTCATACCTTTATTATCACTTAATAAAAATAACTTAAGCAAATTTACTAAAAAACACCAAAGATGGGGCTATTGATCGCCTATGGCTTCTAAATGCATTTTACCAAAGCAATGGTGCCATCTACTGGTCAAATTAGGACCACGCTGACTGATGGCTGAAAACCATGGAGCCTTTTAGACGTTTAAAGTTCTGCTGCTTTTAGGTTTGCAGTTAGTATTAAAATACTAATTCTGAATACTTCTATGTCCTATTTGTCTACTTAAACATTAAAGCTAAAATATGCATGTATGTACTGATGGTGTGATAAGAATTTACTAAAGTTCACAGCCAATAAAGGTCAAGACTGTTTACAATTCCTCAATTAAACATTTATAGCGATTCAGCAGCAGTCCTTTATAATTTTGGTGGAACAACTATAAATAAAAATTTCCCACTAATAGTGAACTGGTGTTGTTGCAATAAATAAACATGACTCCTGTTAAAACTCTGATCTTATCAGGATTTCATGTTTTTAAATGACGGAAACAGATGTGCCAACAGTTAACCATGAAACATGACTTTTGTTCTCCAACTTTGAGGCATGATATTAAACAATGGCAGCTAAGACCTGTATTTGAAGATGTTTACAAAGTTAACTTGCTTTCTGTGATCCACAGCCAAGCAGAGAACTGAGAAACATTGCAGAAAGGGTGTGTCTTGTTTAGTTCTAACTAGCAAGGGCATGAAATTGCATTAGGTCCAAGTAGGATTTTCACAGCAGAGCCTTGGATAAATCTGATTTTACATTTCGTTTTATGTACAACTTAACATTATCACTGGTAAAAGAAACCTTCAAAAGAAAGAACATGGTGAAAATAAGGTTTATAATTACCTTATAATTTGAGTCTACTCTAATGATTAACAACAGCTGGGTTCAGTAGTTACTTGCACTGACTCAGCTTAGTAGATTAATTCCAATTTTCTGTTCATAAAGATTTAATTTGCACCTTTGGAGCTTCTGCAGTTTAGAGTGACATCAGCTTATAGCCTTTTTATATTGTGACATTTCCTCCGAGAAATAAACTTTGACCGGCAGTTAAGTGTTATATATTTTCATTGTTTTCAGTGGCCGGCCAACGTGATTTAAAAGCATGTTGCACTGTGTAAATGCTGCACCTTGAATTCAGGTCAACTTCCAGAGGGGATTATGAAGTAGAGCAAAGACTTAAACCCATAAATTTCAATTAAATATTCAAATGTCAACATGTAAAAACAAAAACATGTTAAATATTTCAATTGAAATGAATATAAACAGGAATCTTTGTATTTGCCGTATCTTGTACACCTGTAAAGCTTATACAAGCAGCATAACAGGTGTTGTTCCACTAGAAGAGGCAATATTTAATGCCTTGATGCTAAATATATTTTTTACCAAATTAAATGGAAGTATTTAGG